GTCGTCGTCGTCGTCGTCGTCGTCGTCGTCGTCGTCGTCGTCGTCGTCGTCGTCGTCGTCGTCGTCGTCGTCGTCGTCGTCGTCGTCGTCGTCGTCGTCGTCGTCGTCGTCGTCGTCGTCGTCGTCGTCGTCGTCGTCGTCGTTGTTGCAGTGTTGCTGCTGTTGCTGCTGCTGCTGCTGCTGCTGCTGCTGCTGCTGCTGCTGCTGCTGCTGCTGCTGCTGCTGCTGCTGCTGCTGCTGCTGCTGCTGCTGCTGCTGCTGCTGCTGCTGCTGCTGCCTAGGCTCCTTGTACCTGACAAGCTCTTCAACTCTGCGCCGGCGTCGGCACCAAAGGCCCCGGCAGAAAACGAGTGCCCTCATCTTTGCCCTGGACGCCTTGGCACGCGGACGCAAATGGGGGTTGATCAAAAGGTCCCATGAACATGCGATAACCATTGGAAAACCACTAAAAAGATACCACGCACATGGGATTTGTCAACCACTACATGCTGATTCAAACACTTTGAGGAAGAAGCCTGTACTGTGGCAATATGGCTGTGGCTCAAAATATGATACCCACAGACCAGCATCTGTAACCCTCGCTTTCTAATTTTGAGCAGCGCCCGGTGAGTTGTTTCCCAAAACTTCAACAGCAACGCCTGCCATAGTTGCCAAGCAGCCACGCCGCGCCCGGAGCACCAGGGAAGCAAGGTCCTGAACGGCATCTGGCCGGTTGTCTCCAGTGGTTCCAAATCCTTGTAAAAACCTCCATTGTTGCCGGGGGTAACACGGTACCCCAAAGAAGTTGGGCATTTGGACAGGGGGGAGAGCGACGGTATCTACGGCAACCCTCACTAGGAAAAAGCTGAAATCTCATGAAACACCTAGAACCAACAACCCTTACCACCCTCAATGGTAACTCATAGAACTGGACCCACAAGCGTCTCATTTTGTCAGCAAGGTGGCTGCTCAATCGGCGTTTTGCGTAGGATGGGTGCGTGGATGTGCATAGTCGCTTCCCCTCTCCTCCTCAGCCAATGCCAGGAATCGGCGAGAGGACCTGCGCACTGCGCACTCGCAAAGGTTGACATGGCGGAATCCCCAGATCCAAGGAATTGGGCTTGCGAGCTCCGTCCTTTCGACTGCTCTAGCTGCGTCCAGCACAACACAAGGCAAACCCTGAGCTCAAATGGAGTGGTTGAAGCCTTTGTTGCTTTCCCACTCAAGCGTTCAGGGCACCCCAACTCCCAACAGTCGCAACGCGCTGGCATGAAAATTAGTTCTGCCCGGCTGAAACGATCCATCCGCTTGCTCGCTGCCAGGCGGAACAACTTGCTGGTGCTCAGGAATGTGGGAATGAACCCAGCATTCCCCTTCAAGGAAACACCAGTTGGATGGTATTTATTCGGGTCATTCCATTTCTCAAGTGACACATCACCTTTTCCCAGGGTTCTACCCCCATTAACAGAATGGTTGACCAAATTTGGATGACGAAACTCCTTAGGCAAATCGTGGCCAGAAAAAACCGCGGCGCGGTGCCGCACAACCCAGCAGTTCCCTTGAAGAAAACCGCAAGGAATAGCACATAAGGGTCATTTCCTCAAATCCCTGCATCTCTCGCAGCTATCGGGGGGAGAAAAAAAAAGGAAAACAAAAACAAAACCCAAAAACAAAAACAAAAAAAGAAACGGAACGCGCTGGCGCGGACTTTTTGTCGCCCCCTCCAAGAACTCCTCCGCCAGGCGCGCCGCCGCGGGGCGCGTGAGCTTCACCAGGCGCTGGGCCGCCTCCGCGGGGGACGGGCCGAGGACCAGGGCCTGGCGCGAGCGGCGGCAAACGCGGCGGCCCTTTGCGTTTTCCGGCCGGGGCGCAAAGGCGTGGCACGCAGATTGCGGGTCAGAATTAAACCAGGAATCGGACCGCAGGCTTTGTGCTTCCATTTACCAGGGTTCCATTTTGGGTACCTATTGTTGACCCACAGCCAAATATGTACAGTAGTTGATGATAATACAGTTAAAGCACTATACCAAGGTGCTATCTTCGCCTCTTTGGTGGGACCTGTTGAGGGACGTCTCTTTGGGACCCCCGGACTTTGGAAGGAAAGCGTGGAAGCGTTCAAAACAGAACCCACTTCTTTTTGTGGAGGGAAAGCCGGGAAGTGTTTAAAGCAAAGGAGCCGGCCGATTTTTTGAGCTCGGTTGAGTTGACGTTCTCCAACTTTCCAACTTGAGCGCAAAGAACCTGAAGGAAGAAGACCCGAGCTTTGACTTCGAGCAAGCGGCCCCCCAAACCCCCCCCCAAAACCCCCCAAAAAAAAACCAAACCCCCCCCCAACCGCCCCCCAACCGCCCCAGCGCCCCCTCCCCCCAAAATCAGCCCAACCCTCCCTCTGACCGCGCCTCGCACAGCGCCTGGGGGCTCGGGCACTTCTCCGCGATTTGGGCCGCCGAGGCGGCGGAGATGCCAATCACCCCCTGCAGCCGGTCCTGGATTCGGCGGTCTCCGCGCAACCTATGACATGAGTCGTGGTGAAAACCTCGGGTAAAAGATGGTCGAAGCTTGACCCTGGATTTTCTAAACCGGTTCATTGATAGGGGGCCCTCCAAAAGTGGTCTGAATCCCCACTAAAACAGGGAACCCCCCTGTATGGAGTTTGTTTAGCAGGGTGCCCACTACCCAGAATGTGGCAAAGAATTGAAAAAAGGCGGCACCCACGTGTAGTTTCATCTACCTTGCTAACCCTGCTAACCTTGCCAACCTTCATCTGCCCGGGTTTCGTAACGTGTCTGAAATCACCTAGGTGGACAGTCCGACGGTCCAACGGGCCGACCCCAGTTGAGGACATCAGGCCTTGTACTCCTCGTAGGCAAGGCACTCCTCGCATGGCCCAGCCGGAGCTTGGCACCCCCTCGTTTGGACACATCCGTTTTCCATGGCCTTGAGACTGTCGGTGGTTGCGCAATCCACTTCGCGCCACTTTGAAACCAGAGCAAACCAGAACGTTTGCTGGTATTCGCAGGGGAAGCATCACCCGAAGGGTTTTTTTAGGTGGTGCGAATTGGATTTCGTCCATCCACAGATGCAACCGAAACGGCGAACCACGACACCTGCTGTGACACAAAGAGCTTTTTCTGGCCCGGAGTCTGTGTCACCAAAGCAAGTCTCGCCAAATGAGCATCGGTGGGTGAGTGCAAATGCACCAGAACACAAGGAAGCCATGAACTCCGGGAAAACCAAGAGCCTTAAACAAAGACAGACTTCGGCCCACTTGAGCTTGCAACATGCATCGTACCTCACCAAGACACGCCTTGCTGGTCTTGCAGTCACACCGAGAAGCTTGTGTAAGGCTTTCTTCCAGCATTAGGAAGCTGGCATTTCGCCAGAAGGAATCATGCGGTGTCGATCCCTCCCCAAAAGTCCGTCTAATCCATCAAAAGCCGTACTGAATTTCCCAGAGATGTGCCATGCCATCGACGTCAATCCGTTGGATGTGCTTATATATTCTAATTCCAGCTGAGGAACTCTTTTGAAAAGGAATCGCCCAGAATTGCGCGAACAATCCCGATCAAACGTCAGTAGCAATGTACAGTTTGATTGCAGAGTTGTCTGATTCTCAGGCAGTTCGCCTATGATCCAAAAAGTATTGAACTTATTCTTACAGATCGGGACTGCCCCAATGAGCCAGAATTTCAGCGACTGCGCGCACTCCAGGCAAATCAAAAGTCTCATGACCAGCCAAAAGCAAGAAAGTGCGATGTCCAATCCTTCTTCACACCTCCGAAACTGTCCTCGAACTCCATCGCTTGCAATAAATGTATATATATATATATATATATATACAATATAGGTATAACAAGCAATAAAACACCAAGAGACTACACACCACCAACACCACACCGCATCTCCCAGCCTCCGCCCATGCTTCACTTTCGGCGCCGAAAGGCGAGGAAAAAAAAACTGTCCATCACCAGGATGCCGGAATCGATCAAGCTTCGGCCCCCCTCCCCAGAGAAAAAAAAAAAAAAAACGACAAAAACATCAAAAAAAGAAAAACATCGACCCCCCGCCAAAAAAAGAAAACAAGCGCCAAAAAACGTCCAAAAAAAAACCTCGACTCGAAGCGATCGAACCCGATCGAAATGTGCGTCCTTCCCGGCCACGGCCTCCGCCAGCGCCCGCAGCGCCGGCCTGGAGGCCTTCAGCTCCGCCGCCAGCGCGGCCACGGGGTCCCGCTGGCCTCCGATCCGGGCCGTGACGGGGCCCAGGACTCGAGGGATCGGTGGACGACGTGGGCCATGTGTGTGTGTGTGGGTTTCCCAGCCCCTTACGTGATAGCTGGTAATGACCACATCACTTGAGAGGGCTTTCTTGGAAGCAAAGTTGGGTTGAGGATTTGAGGATCCGCGGATCCGCGGCGCAGGAAGCTCCATGCACCCCGCACGGCCACCGAAAGCGGGGCTTTCCTGGTGGTCTGTCCCCAAAAAGGAGCGGATTAGGGCTTAGGCTTCAAAGGTCATGCCTGTTGTTGGGGGGAAAATGCGTCCCAAAACCAGCTCGTATTGATATGGCAAAGAACCAAGACGCTTGTGTGCTGGCTTGTGGATACCAAGAAGCCCTACCATTTGCCAGGAGAATGGATGAAAAGTGCGGATCCTCATCAACTATGTTGAGAGTCCCCTCAACATGAGGTTGGCCTGGACGCTCCTGTCACCCGAAGAAAATTGTGAGATTGGTGTTGGGTCTGCTCCTATCACGTAAGGATGCTCATCTGCGGGGTCTCAGAGCTCCTTCTGAGTTGCCACGTGATGGTTAGCATGAACCCCAAACTCCCACACTCTTCAGAACCCCAAAGCAATCCAAGAAGTACCAGCTCCAAGTGGGCATGGGTCATAACCCATGCCTCCATTTTTGGGGCGGATGAACACCCATGTACCACCTATTTTGATGTTCACCAGGGGTACAAGGTTTTGACCCACAGCCAAGTACCAGCTCCATGCCAGCTCCCGCTCCCGCCTTGCAGAAATTCCCGCATGGCTTCCCCACTGCCGAAGCGCTCCGCCAAGCGCAAGGCATTCTCGCGGCTGATGCCGTTCACCTCCTGGCGAACAGCTCAGCCATCACTGCCCACAGCCTCGATTTTCTTTGGGAAATCCGCGGTTGAAAGGGGGGCTTGTGGGCTGTTGATGGGTCTAATCGTGTTACTCCCTAAGAAAAAGGTATCATGCATGGTAGGAGACCCAGGTTCTGTGGGCGTATTGGTGTCCTTCAAAGCATCGAGAACGGGCCTCTCCTCTGCGATTCGCATGAAACTACCAGACCGCCCGACCAGAACGAATTGCCGGGGACCCTCCAACTTCGGTCCTCCAGGGACCTCACGAAGTTTTCCCGCTGCAGGACCTGCAGCGTGGGGTTTGCTTCTCTCTGAGAAGGCCCGGAGTGATGTCGGCCATGTGTGAAACGTGTTCAAGGGTCGAGGAAACAATTGTCCAAAACGCGCGATTGTCTCCGAAAGCAAGAGGCCTCTTTACCTGGTTGACCCTTCCCAATCGCGTTCCCTGCGTGAATGGAAAGAGGAATGACATGGAGCGTCTGCAATCGAGTCAACGTTTGATGGACAGCAAAATAGACGTCCACAGATCTGAAAGAAGCATGTATGGATGCGAGCTTCCCACCTGCTGCAACCGCTACTGCTGCACAAGATACATGGCACACGGCACAAAAATCGGAACCCTGGCAAAAGGAACCAAACAAAGACTAAAACCTGCGGCCCCCTGGTGATTCTATTTTGACCCATGCCCACATTCTGTACCTGTTGCGCCTTCTTTCCCGCCAACGTCTCCGCCAGAAGGCAGGCCACGGGCCGGAACAGTGGGCGAATGTCCCGCAAAGGTGCTTCGCTCCTCTCCTGGAGCCAGTGCCTCAGCTCGTTTGGTCGCGTGCCTGGAATCGAAATTGCCACTTGCCTGTGGGTTTGGGGTGGGTGCAACACCCATTTGAGTTGGGATTTTAGTGGGGATTGGGATGTTCACTGGGGTACGTGCTTTTGACCCATGGCCACTT